AGCCCGGGACACTCGTCTGCGTGCCCACAGACATCTTGCTGCATTCAGCCAGCACTGCCAAGATGGCCGCCTCCGAGCCACCACGAGGCTTGCCTCCCGACGATCGGGTCGATCTATACTTGTTCCGCTTCATGCTAAACCCCGCCGAGGGTCCGTCCCAACTCCAGAGGGATAGAGCAACACCTGAGCCCAGGTAAGTAGCAAAAACTCAGCGCTAGGATAGTGGCAGGATAGTCAATGGAGCGGAGCTGCCCGGGCACACGTCTTCTCTGGATCACATGCTGGCCACGCCCCCACAGTGGTATGTTTTTACCTGTTTGGTAACTTTTTTTTTTTTTTAATGTTTTTGCATATATCTACTGCTTTTATGCAAAATCAAAACTTTCCTAGGAACAATCTGCTTTCCTGGGGCCAGCAGAGGCACTTTGAAGCTATGGAATGCATAAGGATAGTTTAAGCCTCCCGTCAAATCTGTGTGCTGTGGCAATGTGCGCAAAGATGCTCATTATCACACGCCTTGCACCAAAACACATGTTACTTGCCATTCATTGTTAATGGCATCCCAACGCACCTTGTTGCACAATGTGATTTCACATACACTGAGTGGCCAGATTATTATGACCACCTGACGTTTGTAGGCAAATTAGCTATAATTAGCTATAATTTGGCGCTGAAGTTGCTAGAGAGCCAGACTATTATAAATAGGGAAGCAGGTTGTTTACCACGAATGTATAAGTGATTTTTTTCTGAAGATACGGGTAAACAAGGCGATTTAATAGCCTTTGAACATGGGATGATTGTTGGCGCGGAGCCATGGAGCGAGTATCAGCAAAACAGCAGAATTCGTTAAATGTTGAAGAGCAGCTGTTGTTAAAGTGTTTAAAGACTGGACTGTCAGCTGAAAATCTGGGTCTGAATGTGCGAATTGTGGCCATCAGCGACTTGTCAATGTTAGGGCAGAACGGAGAGTGGCAAGACTGGTACAAGACAACAGAAGGGCAACAGTGCAGTGTCAGATTCCTCGCATCACCTTTCTACATCTCGTGGAGTCACGAGGCGGCCCAACAAAGTCATCTCGTGGAGTCATCTCGTGGCCCAACGAAGTACTGATGGGGTGGTGATAATAATCTGGCCACTCAGTGTATGTACTGTGCATTTTGGTGATGTAGGCTTCCCCGTACGTGATGCATTAAAAGGATTGCATGCTTGTGTGAGTGCTCGTTTTTGGGCAGGAGTCCATCTGCAGGTAAGTCTCTTACACTTCCTGATCATCTCCCTGCAGTGAGTGGTGACTGTCAGTTACCGCTCCCCGCAGGGATTCCCCCCCTCTCCGATTCTCCAGAGCTGAGTGGAGGAACGAACGGGAAGGGGGCGGGAACAGCTGGCTGTACCTCTAGATAGACAGAGCAAGATATCATTCACACAGCTGGGTGGAGCCAGACAGTATTGTCGGGATCCGTCCTGGCTTTGGCGCTCTCAGCATGCTCGCTATATGCTGAGTTTTGGGTAACGGGAGGACGTAGTATATGTCCTCTCGTGACCCAAAAGAGAACTATGGAAAAAAAAGTCACCCCATAGTTCTCCTTTAACTACCAAAATAAAGGAAAACGGATGTTATCTTTCTATCGCTTACAACTTTGCATATTCTATAGATTTTTTTAATCTCAGTTTTTACACCTTGCTGCTTATTTAAAATGGAAATACCAGTTTTCAGTGGGACTGGCCTTTAAAACGTAACAAAGAGTTTAGAAATCAAACTTTATATTCCCAAAATGACTAACCCATCACAGAATGCCAAAACTGCATTAAACCTCCTTGGATAAAAGGGATATAGGGATCTGTCTAAATAAATCATGCAGCAGGACAAACATGTACATTTAATATGTATTCTGTTTAAAAGTGATATCATTTCATATAAAATACTGTGTATAAACAAGATAATAAGTTTGGAAATATAGAAACAGGACCTCGGAACAAAGGCTGATATATTTCTGTTTTTATCTTAATACAAACTGAAAGAAGTTCAAACAATCTGTGTACAGAGGGATCTTTATATGGAGACATGCACTAAGCTATCACAGGCATTCAAGCAAGAATGTCTTATAACTTCTAGAAGTGATGGGGCCAGGGCTGAATTCATGACCCCCCCAGGTCAGCCATTTTTCTTCCCTTCCTACTCATGTTAGCTGCCTATCGTTAGTATCACACTAACAAGGCCAGTAGGGATAAGTGGGACAATTTCACAGACGTTTCATTAAAACTAACAATGTTACTGCTATGTGAAATTATCTTGGAAAAAACTGCTCTGCTGATATGTGACATTGATTTGTTTATGAACAAAGGCATGTTGTACCCCATGGCCATATGACATGGCTTTATTGATGAACAGAGTCACTGACATGAACATAAGAGGGGCCACATCATTCATGCACGGAGAGAAGAGGATCTGGCGGTATGTTTTGGTTTCAAAGACTGAGCAGCACCAGGCAGGGTCAATCATTACAGTAAACATCCTCGAAACAGGGAGAAAAATAATTATTTTGCCAGACAAGCTGCCCTCAGCAGTGTGGAGGGGATTCATTAAAGGACAACTGTGCAAAATGACTGTTGTTCTTTAAGGAAGAACACTCTCAACTTCATTGCAGTTTTATTTTATCCGCCAGGTGACCAAGTGCATTTAGCACTTGGTCCCGCTCTGAAGAAAAGCACAGAAGAAAAGCACCTCTTTGTTTATGTTAAGTGATATTCAGTGGCGGACCTAAGGAACAAAGGCCCCTGGTGCAAGATATTTTTTGCCCCCCCCCCCCCCCCCCAAAAACACGACCCCA